CTCTCTCTCTCTCTCTCTCTCTCTCTCTCTCTCTCTCTCTCTCTCTCTCTAAAACTATGAAACTATCAATCAATCAGACTATATATCGTCAAGCAGAACTTCCCGGTAAACCATCGGCAGAGAGGGAGAAGAGGACAACAAACGACGGGCTGTGACAAACTGTTTCGTCGGAGTTTCACCAACTGACTAATCAGTAGGCTGAGCTCTCTTTCAATCTCCCTGCCATCTCTCGCTGAGTCTTGGCACACGAGAAGATACGTCGCAAAAAAGTTAGAAAGTTGAAAACCCATCAAACGTTGTGCAACTACACACATACATTAACAAAGGAAAAGATTAAAAAAACAATTGTGGAAGAGCCTGTGCAGAGTCCTTCCTCTGCACGCAGTCCGTCACATACCGCAAGTCTCACGAAGCAGGCAGCTGCCCGCTGCCAGGAACACACACTGTCACCCAGTGGGACAGCGAACAAGAGAAGACCCAATTCTCACAAAGCACTCAGCTACGACGTGCCGGGATGATCAGTGTTTGACAGCAGCTGTTACACCCGAGGTTCGTTTATACGGATCCGTTGTCAGGCGGCATCTACCGGTCGACACCGTCCTCAAACGGGCCTAAGCCCTCCTCCGTGCGCGCATGGATTCGAACCGGCGACTTCGGCCTCAAGAGCCAAGTCTCGTGACCCACTACAGCCAGGACACCGTGTTGAAAAGCGGGACCAGACCGGTCGTGATATCCACCCCACCCCTGCAAGGCTGCTGTAGTGTCACAAAAACCTAGACCTAATGCATGTGACCTGTTCCCCTCCCACGGCTGATGAACTTTCCTAGGTATCAGGTCAGATGCACTAGGTAGTAGAGAGCTCCGCATGAACACATGGTCAAGAAGCTCCTTCCTTCCCACTACACTGCAATTCTCGCAGCTACGGTTCTTCCCAAAATATAGACTACACAGTCACTACAGTGGTTTTCGAGGTGGGGCTGCTCGTATCACTTCGAGTAATACCCTGGGCATGGTGTTTCTCCAAAAAAAAAAACAAAAAAAAAAACAGATGCGTTCCGACGCCACATGCGCAGCTCCGATCGCCCTCCTTATGTATGCAAGGGGCAACAAGAGGCGGTCCCGGGATCGAGGTGTCATATCAACAGCCAAGGGGTGCGGCATCCCTCTCTCACAGCCACCCCTTGTCCTGCAGTATCTTCTTGATGTTCTCCACTGCTTTGGTAGCATTGACTGTCATGTGTGAGGAATGACTGACCCATTTCTTCTGTTTAATGTCGAATTCGACGTAAGGGCCGTACCATTTTTCGGGAAAATCTCCGAAATAATCCAGGCCAAGAATGAGCGCTAACTCCCTGTAGCAGAAGTTCAGATGCGAAGGATCGATCTGTGCATCAATTGGCTGCAAAAACTCGTACACCACCGCACCTCGCTTCGTCATCAACATGTTTGTCAAACCGGCACCATGAGGAGAGACAATAATGTCGGCGCTTGCAAACTGCTGCCATATAGCCCGCTGACTAGTGAACACTCTGTCGTCATACACCTCCAACGTACGCGATGGATGGTTTCCGAAGGCGTCTGTGAGAGCCGACATCAGTTCGTCGTGGTTGTCGATGAACCGCTTGTGGGAGCGTCGTATGACGAGCATCGTTCCTTTTCCGGTCGCCGTGTCTTCTTCTTCCCCACTATGACCAGATGACGATGTTACGGTTGTTGTCGCAGCACCCTCACTCTTGTTCGCGTCACTCCGTCCTGTCTCAAAGGCCTCACGAGGAACCTCCTCCTGCATTCCCTGTGCCGTTTTGCCCGTGGGGGTTGTTTGAACAAGGCCACGGTCACGAAGAAGGTGCTCCCTCAGCACTTTCCCCAGCCGGATCCCATAAACTTTGTACAGCCATTCAGGTATACCACAGGGCGTATCCGCCACCACCACCTCGTCAGCATGGACGTCACCTGCAATAAGTCGTGTTCGGTTTATTCTAAGCTCCTCTATGAGTTTTTGAGAGAAAGCCGATGGCTTGTCCCCCTCAGCGCGTTCGTAGATAGACTGTGCGCTCGTTGTGTGGATCATGATGGAGGGGTCGGCCAGAAGTTCTTCATAGAAGGGCATAAGCTGGGACCCCATTTCCGCCAGGTCGTGATGAAATCCTGGCCATAGATGGTCCACCACATACACCTTTTTGTAGTGGTTATGCGCCCGAGCGTACTCCGGGCGGATGGAAGGAAAAGCCCCTCGAGAGCATCTCCCTCTTGGATCGTACACGTACTCATCCGTGTAGACTTGCCCATTCAGAGAAACGTACATGCTTCCACGAAACGTTGCAATGAACGGATTATGCAATTTCGAACCCATTTTTCTCTCATGATATCCCCCAGTTTTGTTAGCTTCCTTTTCGATTGCATCTCCTATAGTGTAGCACAGGCTCTCGCTAGGATTCCAACCACCGCAGAATATAAAATGACGGGGCTTGTCGTCCTTGCAGATGAGGTTGTCCTTTAGGCTCTCCCTGAAGAGCTTTGTGCTGCTGCATAACAGGCACATTGCCAGCTCTTGCAGGTGAAAAGTGCCTGATACGTCGTTCCATCGACAGGGTGGGTCGTTTGCCCAACCAAGCTCCTCAGGTGTGAGCGATTGCTCCTTCAACTCAATTCCACCTCCCGTTGTTGCAGATGAGGATCCATTCACATACGCCACCAAGTCTTCATAAGTTTTCAGCAGCCGCCTTTCCCCAAAGATAGGATCTGTGACCCTACTACGTCTGTCCTCCACCTCCTCCTCCTCCCCCCCCCCTTCCTTTCCCTTCTCCACCCCCCTGTGCTCTTTGATATCTCGCCCTCCAGCCGAATGTTCCTCTGCTATTGACCTATCCCCATCCGAGACAACTGGTGGGGAATCTTGTCGATCATCATCCTCTTTATGATGAGAGGGACGATATCCCGATCCCGATTCAATTTCTCTTGTAGGGGATCCAGCACCCACAGATCCTTGCCCTCCAGAAGTGTCTCCACCCAAGCCGCCTCCTTCGCCCCCCCCAGCCGACCCTTCACTCACAGTTTTTTGTCCTCCATGCGTCTCTTGTCCTCCAGGAGTTTCTTGCACTCCTTGAAACATTTCATGCATGGCCGTACGATCTTCCCCTCTCCAATCACGTTGATTGCTAAAAGACGCAACATGAGGCCAAACTACCGCATATGACATGAACAAGGCTATCAATATCACCCCGCAAAGCACAAACCGCCTCCCAGAAAGCCGACCCTTGCCTGCCCTGCTGTCATTCAGACTGACAGGGGTGACCATAGACTCCATCTCCATCACCGTCCACTTTTAAATCTGCTGGCTCACTAAAATCTCAACCACTCAGTCTGGAAGAACCTGGGCACAAAACAAAAGGTCACATCACAAGGGCTTCCACTTTAGCAAGGAGGGCTTTTTTTTTTTTGTATAAACAAACAAGGAGGGCCCTTTCTGTGTTTTTCTTTCTAAGCGAGGAGGGCTTTGTGCTCCTCCTGTAAATAAATACCAGGCTACCACCCTTGTGGGGCATGAACAACCGAGATTCCAGCATCACGGATTGATAAGAGAGATGGACTGCAGATAACCAAGGGAGGGGGGACCCAGGTAGGCCGAGTTGAAATCGCAAACTTTTTTTCCCTTTTTTTTTGTTTTTGTTTTTGCCCTTGTCAAAGTGGTCATCGACCCCCCTCCATTTCCGGCCCTAACTCCCTGGAGAGTCGACTTTAGGCTATCGGAGGGAGTGGTGGTTTCAGAGAGTCCCACTAGGTGCCAATGGGCCTCACTGCATTACAGAATACACACTAGATCATCTAAACGTATCGTGCTGACTGTAGGGTGGACCTGATACATTGGGTTGCCAACGAGTGCTGCTCACCTGTGGCATACTGCGTAGCCACACGGGCCTGCAGGGCCCGTCCCGCATTCTCAGCCTAAAAGCCTAGAAATAAGGGCTTACAGGCCCCATGTCGTTTCAGCCTGAAAACTGAAAACGAGGGCCTGCAGGCCCTATTTCGTTTTCAGCCTAAAACAGGGCTTTTCAGCCCTGAGGCTTTTCAGCCTGAAACGGAGGGCCACTTTCGGGCCCTCATAAGATCGACCTACCCTAACATTCAGGCACAAAACCAGGGTTTTGGGAACAGGCTATTTCTGGCCTGTTCCCACGACAGCCTCAAGCAGGAGCTGCAGCGGCAGCCCCTGACTCCCTTCGGCATTGGCAAGAGCAGCCTCCTGGACTGCCTCGCCCTGCAGTCAGGAGGCAGGCCGAGAAGTACTAGGGAATTCCCATGCACTTCACAGGTAGGTAGTTGGACAGAAGGCAGGAGTAGTCTTCAGGATTCGGCCGCAGCACTCAGGAGGAGCGCTGCAGGAGTAGCTTAGCGCTAGCAGTAGTCTTCAGCGCTGGGCGCTAGTAGCCATAGCAGTAGTCTTCAGCGCTGGGCGCTAGTAGGTGGTAGTAGTAGTGTTGGGGAGAGATGGCTGGCGGAGGCCAGTGAGACTTACCTGTGGCGCCATAGCTCCAGCTCCATCTTNGAGAGAGAGAGAGAGAGAGAGAGAGAGAGAGAGAGAGAGAGTTCTTCTTCTTCCTCTTCTAAGTCCACCATCCCTTCTTCCTCTTCTAAGTCCACCATCTCTTCTTCCCCTCTCACCACCTGACTTCTCAGTATCAGCGGACTACCACAGAGAGAGAGAGAGTTGTGACTTGAGACTTGACGACATTGGATCCAGACTCGACATTGGGATTCAGACATTTTGACGAGGGACTATTTGGGCCTGTGCTGAAGACTTGGTGTTGATGACATTCCCATCTCCCCCTCTTCTTCGTCTAACCCCCCTCTTCTTCGTCTGTGTATGGTTGGGGCTGGCGCATTCTTCCTGTGTGAGCGCCAGACCCCTTCACACCATGGAATGATGATGATGATGTATGTTCGGGGCTGCATTGMAATATTGATTGTTCGGATCATTGGTATCTAAGTTTTCCGCTGCGCTATCTTGTACTTTGTTAGAGAGGTCGGTTCTTGTTCTGGTCTGCACCTTTACAGTATGCAACAGTTTGGTATCGGAGCGGACCTCTCATTCAGAGGACACACTCAATCAAGTAGCCAGCTTGCTTGATCTATTGATTACTCAGTAGTAAATCAAGTAGGACTTCGTCAAATCTCTGGAAAAAAAAATTCTTGCAACAAATATCTGAAAATTTCTGATAATCACATTTCGTTTTACCTGAAAATTTCTGATGATCGCATTTCGTTTTACCTGAAAATTTCTGATATTAGTATTTCGTTTTCACGCAACAAATATCTGAAAATTTCTGACAAACGCATTTCGTTTTTATCTGAAAATTCCTGATAGTAGCATTTCGTTTCTCTGATATTTCGCATACATAGCCGAAAATTTTTGATGTTATTATTTCGTTTTCTAAGCATATTAGGATAACGATAGAAGTGGTCATATTCTCGGAAACCGGATTTATTCTTTTCTGAAAATCGAATCTCCATTCTATCTCGCAAATTTTTTTGAAAACCGAAATCTTGCGAAGCCTACCAGCATTTCGTTGTAAGCATATGAGGAGGTTGCCATATTCTCAGAAACTGGATTTAGTCTTTTCTGAAAATCGCATCTCTACTCTATTTCGCAAAAAAAAATTTCAAGATCTCATTTTTTGGAAAGCCAAAACTTTGCGAAACCTAGCCTAGATCTCGCTCATAGTACTCTTCTGACATGTCTGACCCATAACAGATCGACAGGTATACAAAAAAAAAAAAAAAAAAAAGGGAAGTAGTCCTCTTTTTTTTATTTTTTATTTTATCTGTTGATTAGGGCCGGGAGGACAGTATTGTTGGGTCGGTTACCTGCCTGCGTTTTCCCTCCCACCCACCCCTTTGCATGCATTTCCGGGTTGGTACAGTGCCATGTCAGCAGTGCCACGTCTGCCACGTCAGCAACAGTGCCACATCAGCAGTGCCGCATCAGCAGTGCCACATCAGCAGCAGTGCCACGTCAGCAACAGTGCCATGTCAGCAGTGCCACATCAGTGCCACGTCAGCAGTGCCATGTCAGCAACAGTGCCATGTCAGCAACAGTGCCATGTCAGCAGTGCCACGTAAGCAACAGTGCCACGTCAGCAGTGCCCCGCCACCATGACGGGCTCAGTTCTGGGCATGCCAGGCCAACTGGCAAATGAGTCCATTGCCGAGTACCGACAGCGTTTCGAAACTCAGCTCGCACTAATCGGGGCTGAGGAACAGCGCCAGCTGGCAGCCGAGGCTGTCCGCCTACAGGCTGAAGTGGCGGCAACAGCTGAGAAGCAGCGGCTTCAGGCCGAAGCAGACGCAGATACCCAGGCACGCCGCAAGGAAGCCCAGGATCTGCTACAGCGGCATGAAGCCACCAGCATCAAAAAGCTCAAGTTTTGGCACTTCGAACCATCCGAGGAGCACGATGACGCGACACCGGAAGAGCGGCACAAGGAATTCATGGCCAAACTCGTGACCAGGTTGGTTTACACTTGTAACCACCTGCAGTCCAAGCTGGCGAACCTCCAGCGGGCCGTACGGAACCACAAGGCTCAGCACGAGGATGCAGCACAGGCACTTGATTCCCGTGTACAAGACTTGGAGCAAAATGCACCAAGACCGGAGGCTGGCGAGTCCAGCAGTGCACCCTCTGCCCGCCAACTGGAGGAATGAGTTGATCACGTAGTCGCAATGCTCGGCGACATCAGTACCTTCGCTGCACCAGCCACCATCAGCAATCAGTTGGACATCTTGAAGACCGAGGTTCAGCAACTGCACCAGCTGCCTAACAAGGATAGCAACGCCGTGCAGCACTACAAGATGTTGACATCCCAAATCGAGAAGTTCGATGATTATACGCATCAAGACCCGGTCCTCTGGTGGGAGGGCTTTACAACGCAACTTCGGATTCTGTTTGTCGCCAAGCACGCGTACATCGGCGCGTTGTTCCTCAACTCAAAGGGCGGATGCCAGATCTGGTTGAGCCACCTGGCAACCGTCCACGGCGTCTACGTCGCAGATATGAAAGATAAGATCTCTTGGGAAGAGTTAACGCGGCTATGGAAGAAGCGGTTCATCGTGGACGACGCCCCGGAGCTCGCCATCAACCGCCTCTTCGCTATGACGCAAGGCAACACATCGACACGTGACTAGCTCACGGAATGGCAAAAGATCGCGGCAACGCCCGATCTTGACTTGCCATTTTCACATCTGCGCCGCGAGTTCTACAACCGGTCATGTGCCGCCTTGAGCCTTGCACTTGGTGATCGCGAGCAATATGCGACCTTCGCCGAAATCATCGACAAGGCAAGGGAGATCATCAAGACCAACAGGGCGGCTGCACACGAGAAGTCAACATGGCAGCCGACCTATGTGGAGAAGGTAAAGACTGGTCCGCGGCCGCAGCATGTCGCTGCAGTCCAATCGGACAACATTGTGGAAGACCCGGCAGCCACCCAAGCGTCACGTGAGGGAGATCAGGTGGCTGCTGTCCAGCCGCGAAGCAACAACGAGTCCCGAGAAAACGGGAAGGCGAAAACCGCATCGCCGGCCGGAAACGGACAGCTTGCACCATGGGTCAAGTTTCACTTGACTGAGGCAGACTACAAGTGGCGCGGCCGCTATGGCTGCTGCTATTGGTGCAACAACACCAAACACAAGACCTCCCAATGCTCGGATCAAGGCAAGGAGGATGTTCGGGCTCGTATCAACTCGGGAAACTGAGTTCCGCGGGAGGTGAGGCGACTCCACCTCTCACTCCGCCAGATTCGGCCGCCTTGCTAGCGGCCTCCTACACATCTGGGGAGGATGCGAATGTCGCAAGTCCTCGGTACACTTACGAGGACTATGCTATCCACTTGGTCCCACCGTTGGACCAACCGCTCCACGTGCAACAATCTACCGCATGCACGGTTTCATCACCATAGGCAACCGATTCGGCAGCTTCGCCGCCATCTATCGCTGGGGATTCAACATCATGGTCAAGACTTAAAGAGCTCGACCCGTTGACATTTGCGGACTTCCAATGGATGCCCCTTCCCCGGTCCGGTCGATTGCCGAAACCGGATTGCAACGTGCTCATGGCACAATTGCGGGATTACTTGCACACTGCAGTACCAACTCCGTTGATGGACGCCGGAGTAGAGGTTGTCGACCTTCACGCCTACATTGCGAAGATCGACCGCGAGTTCAAGACACAACGGTACGACGACATCGACGCACCATTGTTATATGTACGCATTCAGATCGGAGAGGCGACCTGCAGCGCTTTGATCGATTGCGGAGCATCTCGCAACTACATGAGCCAAGACTTTATGGTACGCGCCAGCCTTGGCCCACGCGTCCGGAGAAAGTCCCAGCCTACGCAAGTCACGTTGGAGGACGGTCACACGCACATGTCAATAGACCGGTGCATAGATGACGTCCCCGTGTATTTTGCCCCGCATGCAAGCGAGGCGGTGTCCTTCGATATTTTGGACACCAAATTCGAAATGATCTTGGGCCTGTCATGGCTGCGAAGCGAGGATCACCCAGTGAACTTCTACCGCCGCACCGTTCACGTTCGTGATCGGAACGGAGTACTAGTCCCATGCACGGTGGCTCCTCCTCACCCTTCGATCAGCTGCCACGTGGTGTCTGCCGCAAGCATGCGAGCTTCCATCATCAGAGACGACATCGAGGAGATGGGGGTGTGTTTTCTCCACGCCCTCCCGCCCCATGACGCTTCATCGACGGACTCATCTTCGGACCCACGCATCACTGAACTTCTCGACGCCTACGGCGACGTGTTCGAAGGCCCGCACGGAGTAGTACCGGATCGGCCCATCCGCCACGAGATCATCCTCGAGGACGGGGCTGTACCTCCGCGTGGTTGCATCTACCGAATGAGCGAGGAAGAGTTAAGTGTGTTGTGGGCACAACTCGACGACCTTCTGGAGAAAGGCAGGATTTGGCCTAGCTCATCGCCATACGGTGCTCCCGTTCTCTTCGTCCGGAAGAACAACAAGGATTTGTGGTTGTGCATCGATTACCGCAAGCTCAACGCGCAAACGATCAGAAACGTCGGCCCTCTTCCACGCATCGACGACCTTCTCGAACGACTGGGCGGCGCCAAGTTCTTCTCCAAGCTTGACCTCAAGTCGGGATATCACCAACTCGAGATTCGGCAGGAGGACCGCTACAAGACCGTGTTTAAGACGCGATATGGGCATTTCGAATGGCTGGTTATGCCATTTGGCCTTACGAATGCCCCGACCACTTTCCAAGCGGCTATGACAACGGAGTTCCGACACATGCTGGATCGATTCGTACTTATCTACCNACGAATGCCCCGACCACTTTCCAAGCGGCTATGACAACGGAGTTCCGACACATGCTGGATCGATTCGTACTTATCTACCTCGACGGCATCCTGGTGAAAAGCCGGAGTTTGGACGAGCATGTGGAACACCTGCACACCGTTTTGGAGCAGCTACGACAAGCCAAGTACAAAGCCAACCGCAACAAATGCGAATTCGCGCGGCAGGAGCTGGAGTACTTGGGACATTATGTGACGCCGCAAGGCATCCGTCCGCTTGCGGACAAGATCGAGGCCCTCCACGTATGGCCCGAGCCCACCAACATCACGGACGTTCGTTCATTCATGGGGTTGGCGGGCTACTATCAGCGATTCATCACCAGGTACTCAAGGATTGCTGCACCTATGACGAGATTACAATCGCCAAGGGTGCCATTCGTATTCGATGACGACGCACGCCGGTCATTCCAAGCACTTAAGACGACCATGCTCATGGCACCCGTCCTTAGCATCTATGACCCCACCCTGCCTACGAGAGTGACAACTGACACTTCCGGCTATGGCATTGGGGCAGTCTTGGAACAACACGACGGCGACGACTGGCACCCTGTGGAGTATTTCAGCCACAAAGTGCCTCCCACCAATTCGCTTGATGATGCAAGGAAGGAGCTGCTCGCGTTCGTGATGGCTCTCAAGCAATGGCGACACTTCCTCCTTGGGCGTCGTAGGTTCACATGGGTCACGGACAACAACCCATTGACCTACTACAAGACGCGGGATACGATTAGCAGCACGATCGGACGATGGATGTACTTCATCGACCAATTTGACTTCACACCGAAACATCTCCGGCCTCTCCAATCGCGCAGCAGATGCACTCTCGCGAAGACCTGATCTTTGCGCTATGACACATCATGCCTTCGCATTCGACGAGGAAATCCAGCAACACTTCATCCGGGGCCATGAGTCTGATCCGGACTTCGCCACGTTGTATGCGCAGCTATCTTCGGATCACCCGCCGGCCAGCCACTATCGCATTGCCGACGGGTACTTGCTCCTCCACTCGAGAGGCAAGGACTTATTGTGTGTCCCACGAGACCGTCGTCTTCGGACTCGCCTTCTCGGGAAGTACCATGACTCGCGACTCGCCGGCCATTTCGGAGTCAACCGCACTATTGCACGGCTTCGACAACGATTCTGATGGCCCGACCTCATTACCGATGCCACTCGGCATTGCGATTCTTGCGAAGTTTGCCGACGAAGCAAGCCCCGCAATCGCAATCCCTACGGCGAGTTGCACCCGATGCCTATCCCATTGGAACCCGGCCTCTCCATTGCCATGGATGTCACCGGACCATTTCCCCGCGATCGCCTCGAGCACGACGGCATCCTCACGGTTGTGGACCGTTTGAGTAAGTATGCGCGTTTTCTCCCTTGCAAGTACTACTCCACGGCTCCCGAGCTGCACGCCTCTTGCACACCGGTTGGATTTGCGGCCACGGTGTACCAGAAGACATAGTCAGCGTCCGCGACACTCGCTTCATGTCGATATTTTGGACTGCTCTCATGCAGGAGTCCGGCACGAAGATGAAACCAAGTTCGGCTCGGCATCCACAGACGGACGGGCAAACGAAGCGGGCACATCAAACCGCTCAAATGATGCTTCGTACGCTCATCCGTCCGGACCAGAAAGATTGGGTTGACCGCCTCCCCGACATCGAGTTCGCCTACAACACTTCGGTGCACCCGGCGATCGGCGTGACTCCATTCGAGTTGCACCACGGTGGACGGAAAGGCCGTATCTTCGCCGACCTTCTCCTCCCACGACCAGCCGACATCGATGCCGCTTGCTCTCCCACTTCCGTCCGGAAGTACAGGGAATTGTTGGCTCAAGCCCGCGCAAATATGCAAAAGGCTCAAGTCCGCATGCAGTAGCAAGCCAACAGGCGTCGCGTGCCATGTCCCATCCGCGTCGGTGATCTGGTTTGGGTCTCCGCGGAAGAGTTTGCACTGGAACAGGATGTTTCACGCAAACTGCTTCCCAAGTGGTTTGGACCATGGCCCGTAACATTTGCTGCGGGCGATGAGCCCGATGGCCCTTCATTTGTGATCAACATCCCCCCGCATCTGATGGTCCATCCAGTCTTTCACGCCTCGAAGCTGGCAACATATACACCAGCTAAGAGCGACGACTTCCCGGGCCGACGATCGCAGGACCCTCCATCTATGGATGGTCATCAGGAACTTGACCGCGTCATCACGGATCGCAAGTACGGCAGTAAGCCTCGACAAAACGAAGTTACATTCGAAGCATGCGATCCCGACGACACTCGGTGGATTTCAAGAACAGATTTGAAAGCATCCGCACCGCTGATCTACGCTCACTACGAGCGACAAAGGTTAGCTCAAGGACTTTCACGACCTGCCCCTCCCACCCGGACTGTGGTCCCTCCCTCAGACAGACAGCTTCGCCCGCGCAGGTAAGCTCGGTCTTTCAAGGAGGGGGGGGGGGTGGCGTACTGCGTAGCCACACGGGCCTGCAGGGCCCGTCCCGCATTCTCAGCCTAAAAGCCTAGAAATAAGGGCTTACAGGCCCCATGTCGTTTCAGCGTGAAAACTGAAAACGAGGGCCTGCAGACCCTATTTCGTTTTCAGCCTAAAACAGGGCTTTTCAGCCCTGAGGCTTTTCAGCCTGAAACAGGGGGCCACTTTCGGGCACTCATAAGATCGACCTACCCTAACACTCAGGCACAAAACCAGGGTTTCGGGAACAGGCTATTTCTGGCCTGTTCCCACGATAGCCTCAAGCAGGAGCTGCAGCAGCAGCCCCTGACTCCCTTTGGCATTGGCAAGAGCAGCCTCCTGGACTGCCTCGCCCTGCAGTCAAGAGGCAGGCCGAGAAGTACATAGGGAGTTCCCATGCACTTCACGGGTAGGGAGTTGGACAGAAGGCAGGAGTAGTCTTCAGGATTCGGCCGCAGCACTCAGGAGGAGCGCTGCAGGAGTAGCTTAGCGCTAGCAGTAGTCTTCAGTGTTGGGCGCTAGTAGCCATAGCAATAGTCCTCAGCGCTGGGCGCTAGTAGGTGGTAGTAGTAGTGTTGGGGTGAGATGGCTGGCGGAGGCCAGTGAGACTTACCTGTGGCGCCATAGCTCCAGCTCCATCTTCGAGGTACCTGCATCAAGGCGCCAACTTCACAGGAGAGAGAGAGAGAGAGAGAGAGAGAGAGAGAGAGAGAGATCCTCTTCTAAGTCCACCATCTCTTCTTCCCCTCTCGCCACCTGACTTCTCAGTATCAGCGGACTACTACAGAGAGAGAGAGTTGTGACTTGAGACTCGACGACATTGGATCCAGACTCAACATTGGGATTCAGACATTTTGACGAGGGACTATTTGGGCCTGTGCCGAAGACTTGGTGTTGACGACATTCCCATCTCCCCCTCTTCTTCGTCTAACCCCGCTCTTCTTCGTCTGTGTATGGTTGGGGCTGGCGCATTCTTCCTGTGTGAGCGCCAGACCCCTTCACACCATGGAATGATGATGATGATGTATGTTCKGGGCTGCATTGCAATATTGATTGTTCAGATCATTGGTATCTAAGTTTTCCGCTGCGCTATCTTGTACTTTGTTAGAGAGGTCGGTTCTTGTTCTGGTCTGCACCTTTACAGTATGCAACATCACCACATATAGATTGGAACCATTATACCAGTTCTAATTTCAGGGAGTCCCACTAGGTGCCATCAGTCCCAACAAAATCCCAACAAGTCCCTACAAAGTCCCAACAAGTCCGTACAAAATCCCAACAAGTCCCATCAAGCGCCAACAAGTGCTACTTCACACTAGGTGGACTTCAACTACAAGGAGTCTCTTCTTGATTGAAAGGCCCACATTATCATGTTGAACCACCACCCACCACTACTGCCGAGCCTCTTTGTTCCGTGGAGAACTTGTACAGCGTGCCAAGCTCAAAACGCACCTGTGTGACATGTTCTTCTTCTTCTTCTTTCTGGCTGGTGCTGCCACGCAAAAAAAGAGGTCCAGGAGGCCCAACCCCTGAAGAATGTGGTGGTAGACAACTTGTCGCGAAAGTTCGCCTGTGAAAGGTAGTGACTGTTTAACACTTAAATAATAATAATAATAATAATAATAATAATAATAGTCATAGTAATAATAATAATAATAAATTAAAAAAAAAAAAACTGCTCCATCTATTGGTGGGGAGCATCACTACACTTAGGGGAATGGAAAAGACAAAAGAGTATCAACAAGAACTTGAGAGCACTCAATAGTCATCCATGCACACAGCCTTTTCCCCTCCATCGCAGCTATGCCAGATATGGCACCAATCTCCTCCTCTAGGTGGTGAGCTCCCTTTCAACTCCACACCAAGGACCCATCCACTGTGCCCTCCTCCTCCTCTTTCTACCAGCTTTGGTGCTTCCAAAAAACAAGCCATGCACACAGCCTTTTCCTCTTTTTTTTTTGTTTTTTATTTGGGACAAGGCTCCAATCTATTCGTGGGGAGTCCCATATAGAAATTTACACAGAATTGAAAATTTTTGAAATTTTAAGATACCGGGGCCATTACCCGGCGATGGCTAGGAAAAATTAGAACTACTGAAGAAGATTGCTACATCGAACTACAAGCCATCAACCCTCTTTACCTCCCTCCGGCAAGACTTACTGCAGCAGAGCCACCATCTCCGCTGCTGCTGTACCCTAATTCCATCCTACTAGCTATCCCTCCTCACTAATAGCACGCTTGATATCCCACCATCTACTCATCCCCCTCACCTCAAATTGAGAAATTCGAGAAAATTCAAAAGATTTAAAAAGAATTGGAGAAACGAAAATCAGAGCTAATACCACCACCAATCCATGACATCTATGTCAAATATGGGAGCAATGCAATCTCCTCGTCTAGGTGGTGAGCTCCCTTTATACTCCACACCAAGAACCCCTTCACTGCGCACCCCTCTTCCTATTCCTACCAGCTTTGGTGCCTCCATCTCCATCCTATTCCAACCAGCAATGACAGCAATGACAGCAACGACAGCAATGACAGGACAGCCCCATCACTCTCCTTGCTATGACCACCAGTCAAGGTGGTGGCTCTGCTCCCCGCCAACACTTGCTTAGAAGAGTGCCAGCAGCAATCAGAAGGGGGAGAGGAGGGTTGGCATGGCAGTTTCCACTTGACAGGAGCATTTTGGTTCTTTCAAACTCGACTAGGGCATGGTTCCACTAGCAGGGGAGTAAAAAATGGCGCCACTCTACTTGTGCTGTCCTTCTGGGACACCGCGTAAAATTCTATAAAAAAAGAAAATCATTTAAACCACCAGTACTTCCTAAAGTCGTGCCCCTATACAAGCCACGATATTGGGAAACGTACAGGCCACTACGGGAGCGCCCACATTCATCCGACTAGAAACATTTCTACTCTATTTTTTTCCGCAGCCGATAGCTGGGCCAAGTACTGGTGGTTTAAACCGCAACTACCTTTCACATGCAAAGTCTAAATCGAAAATGTAACCTCTACCACATTCTTCGGAGGTCCGGAGCCACCAAATGGCTGGTGGCCCTAGCTGAAGTAAAAGAAAGAAGGTCGCGCTGGTGCTTCAGCAAAGCTTGGCGCACAGTTCTACTCTACCTTGGCAAAAAGAGGCTCGGAGGTAGTGGTGGCTCAAAGATTAAAAAAAGGGGGAACGGCAATTTCAGATGCCTAACACCCCCACTGCTGACCATTGCGGGGGTTAAGTCCCCCACTCATGGGGGTCTAGAATCGGGTTGAGTCCTGCTATCCGATCTGAACATCATACGGCCACGCTATGGCCACATTATAAAGTACTCAAAAGGAAGACTACACCCCCGCTAGTGGGACTTAGCCCTGGGTACCTTAGCCCCGGGTACGGGACAAAGACAGTCCCAGGGAAGCAGGTCAAACCCTCTGGGGTGTGCCTCGCATTCTTCGTTGGGTCTATTCAAGTTCACGGCAGGTTCCTCTAGGGGACGGTTGGAAGAACCCTTGGGAAAAAAAAAAGGGCATCCCGCGTCAACAGATAGGAGTGATGATAAGAGCATACACTCCTCTACCTGTCTTGTTGCAGGGGTCCATTCTATTGGTGGGGAGCTACACCTCCTGGAAAGCGGGTCCAGCGTCCCCTCAGTTACAATGATAAAATGATTGACG